TAATTTTGCTTGCATGGGAGAGTAATGCTATGGTCCTATAGTTGCTGTTTTTTGGGGTCTCCTTTTTTGTGAATGAGGATGTATATTGATCATATCCAATTTGTTGCCCATCATTTTGTTTTCCATATCTGTTGACGTATATATGTTAGTTAGCACTATAGTTTACTCTAGCAACATGGATTGCAGCAGTTAGACTGGAATATCATCTGTTCCTGGTGATATGTTTTTCGCATTTGCCACCTCTTTTTAAATGCAAACAGTTAAATCTTGAACAATTACATTGTAGACAGCTACAACATGTCCTCTCTATCTGAGGAACAGTTCTTCCTATTGAATTTGGCCAGTGCACATTTCATATGCATTATTATTATTATTATTATGGATAAGAAGAAATTACACATTACTTCCCAAATGAAACTGACAAATTTGTCAATCTTCAAGGTTTTTTTTTTAACCTTCCCCCAGGCCCCTCTTGTAAATTTTATATAGAATTATTTCTCTTTCAACTTTGTGCCTGCAGATTCTCAGTCACCTTGATCTACATTCAACAAAGGAACAGAAAGAAGAGTGTATGGAAAAGAGAGATGCAAAATCTACATTGCCATATGCAAGCAATCATTTTACTGCCCACACTGTCAGACTGTTTGCCCACAAGAGCAAAGAGCTTTATGAGAGTTATAAAAAGTTACTGGCACTGCAACATGTTATCATTGTGGTATGTACTAAATTACTGAGTCAGTCATGGAACTAGCCAAGACACTGGCAGCAGTAGGAGGATGTGTTAGGAGGTGGCTTGGGAAAGTTCTCCTTGTGCAGTACCTCCAGCTCCACTGATTCTTTGTTTCATAGTAAATTTTTGGGAACATTCATACACTGAAATGTCACTGAAAGATGCAATGCTTGATTACTCTCAATTAACTGTGTGAACTCATTATTTCCTTATGTAAAGCAGTTGTATTTTACTTTTCCTTAAAAATCAAATCAAAAGAGTCCAAAATGACCTACATCTAGAGGTACTTGACAATTTTTGTGTGAATCATGACATGAACTGACCTGATTCACTCACCCCAGACTAATGTGTGGATTACAAGCGAGCTGGATTCTGCATTGCTTCATGTATTACAAGGCAAAGGATCAACTTGTTAGAAAATGAGAGACAGTGTATTATAGTGGATTGAGTGTTGGACTAGGACTCAAGGAGACCAGGGTTCAAATCCCTGCTCAGCCATGGAAGGCTACAGAGTGATCTTGGGGAAGTCACACTTTCTCCGAAGATGACAACGGCAAACCCCCTCTGAACAAATCTTGCCAAGAGATTGCCCGTGATTGGTTCACTGTAAGTTTGAGTCATCTTGAAGGCATATAACAACATGAAAGAAAAACTGCTTTAAGAGAAACTGGCTGGGATCCTACATTGAGAGTGTATAGCATACATCTCCTCCTGCAAAGTTATGCATTGCTTGTATTATGCCATCCTTGTATTCAATGTCAAAGCTGCAGAACCACATGAACAACTGAAATGAGCATCTGCACACACAGTACAGATAAGCAATGTGCAATGCACAATATGCATGAATGTCTACATGGCAGACAGATAAATCCATACCCTTCAATCGCAGGGACAAGGCTGATTATTTTTCTCACTCACTCACTCACTCACTCTCACACACACACACACATTTCAGCTGCATTTAAATGTTCCAGTTTCTCTCCCTTCCTACCACTTTCTCCATGTGTCCTTGGCTTACTTCAACTGTTGACATAAGTTAAAAGTACCAAAGTCATTTGTGCTTAATTAACTCAGCAAGGGTGAGGCAAGCAGAGGAGGCAGAATCCTGACCTTCCCAGGAGGCTGAGACAAAAGCAAAGTGCTGAGCCTCTCCTAGCTTGCTTATTCTTCCTTATTAATAATATATGCCACTCTGATCACATTCTAATGTTGCTTGGCCAAATGTTTTCCGGTTTTCATTTGTAAAATGTTGGAGAGTTGTCATAAGTTGGAAATGACTTGAAGGGACAAAACAACAACAAACAACAATGATAAACCTGTTAGCTCATATTAATCTCTGATAAACATGATAGACAGGGTTAAACTGTTCCACTCTCCCAAGTCTTTTCCTGCAGATCTGCTTATTGTCTTAACTGAAGTTTCTACAGTTCTACCGTTCAGATTTTAGATTGCTTTATTTTAAGATGGCATTAATTCGTATTTTTGTGTGGTATAAAACAAGTCACTGCAAACCACCCTGAAGGCCCATTTTGGTAGGATGCTGTGATAGATATACACAAGATAAATAAGAAACATCCATAGTGGGGCTCACAAAAGCTTTTTCTTCCTTTCTAGAGGTATCTGAATAGTCCAGCCAGTTCAGGACGTTCAAGAGATGTCAAATGAGCTCATCATGCAGAAGTGTTTTAGTTTAAGCTAGAGGCTATGATTACTGGAAAGGAATAATTAGAGTGACTTTGGCCTCAAACAGACTGCCCAAAAGGGCTAATCTGGGGGCAGGGCATGCACATGACGCATGCCCCTGGATTGCACCAAGGCCATGCCAAGGCTGTGCCAGGGCTGCCAAATGTGGCCCAAAACCAGCTGCAAAAGCTTGTTTGGAGATTCTAGCAGGGGGGTGCAGCTATCGTATACCCTTATCCTTCTATCTGGGATGGCCATCCTCTTCCACCAAGCATGCAGCTTTGGGAGGGATGCACATGAAGTGGTGAGGGAGGAAGGGGAAACCCGCCTAGCCAGCCAGATCAGCCCAATCAACCCTTGCGATCAATGGGGTGACAGATGTTGCAGCCATATCACCTTCACAGTGGAATGTCTGGATGTGGATGAATGGCTAAGTAAGTTGTGGGAGTATGTAGAAATAGACAAGCTCATCTGTATGCTAAGAGAACAAGACTGGGAAAAGAATAAGGAAAATTGGGAGCCACTGAGGGTGTTATATATTTGAGAGGGAGGTTAAGGGTGGTAAAGAGGGTAAGGGATAGGCTGACGTTAGGTTAAGGGATTTAAATATGGATGAATGGGAAGGGAGTGAAAGTATTATCCTGAAACCTATAAAGAAGGTAGAAGGTAGTAATATGGTTCAGGAGGTCAATTATTTATGTTACTGTCATTACTCATATGTCTTCTGTTTGTTCTTTATTTTTAGTTTGTTTGTCTTGCATTTTGCATTGTATATTATGTATGGATCTATTTATGTGTTCTTTAATGCAATAAGGAAATTAATTTAAAAAATTTAAAAGCCAACCGTGAAAGGAACGGTTTCTTCTGAGGGGTGGGAGCTGCCTCTGGCCACTCTTTTAGCCCTGTCTGCTTTCCCCTTTGTGCATCAAGGAGTTTGTTATTAGCACAACATAAAAAGATCTTTGCTAACAGAAAACAAAGGTCCATTTTTTTGGCATTTTGTTTCTTACAGTGATCAGCCAGATGCTTTTGGGAAGACCACAAACAGGACGTGAAGGCAAGAGTTGGTTCTTCTACAACACCCTGTATCCAAAGATAAAGACCCTATGTATGTAAGAACTCCATCTAGTTACTGTGGCTAACAGCTGATCATAGACCTGTTCACTCCAGATTTGTCCATTCCTTTTTTAAAAATGAAAACCCTTCTACTTCTATCTTGTTTGGTGTAAATAGTGAGACAATGAACAAAGAAAGAAAAGGGAAAAAAAGACTGATTAAGACATAGATCATTCTGGACACTGGTTCATCTCTCTTTGCTTCTTCTTACAACAATATCATTTGCTTCTATATTCTCAAGATGCTAGATGGTGGAGAAAATGAGCCAGACCCTAACACAGTCCCCCAGAACACCTAGTTCATATAGCACCTGACCAACTCAGGTCTACAGGAGGGTCCATGAATGACTGAATGACTCATAACCCTTAGACTATGGAGTTTATCACACGGGAGAAATCCCGTGCAGAAATGGGGGTTTGAATTGAATAAAACCCACAAAAGCAGGCAGATTTTCAGACAATGTTACTGTTAAAATGGGGTTAACCCAAATGGAAAGTAGTCAGAAACTGCTTCCTTTTACTTTCAGAAAATCCCAAAATTAAAAAGAAACAGTTTCTGACTACTTTCTGTTCAGGTTAACCCCATTTTAATAGCAATGTGTGTGAAAATCTGCCCACTTTTGCGGGTTTCCCCCACCTTTTAAATCCCATTTCTGCACGGGATTTCCCCTGTGTGATAAACTCCTATGATCCTTTAATCCTCCATGGCCACAGGAAGTTGTGCAATCCCTTCTACACTGGTCACCTAGTACTAGAAAGACTTGCAAGGAAGTTAAATTCAGAGCTAGGAAGCCACAAACTACAAGCTACTTAAGCAGCCATCTTTTGTTTTTGTTTTGTTTTATTTTTGGTGATGAAGACATAACAAAGTAACATTTCACAAGTAACATATCAAGTTGGAACAACAGTCATTTGGGAGTGTAACTGGTAACATTTTCTAGTGCATTTTTCTTGGGCTCCCCCCCCCCCCCCCCACACCATTCTAGCATTTTAGAGACATCTTCAGTGGAAATTTTACATCATTCTATCCTACAATTCTGCCCCCCCATAATATATTGGAGGAGGAGGAAGGATGAGGACAATGAACGCTAGCCCTGCAAGGCTCCTCTGCTGCCTGGCTTTCTCCTGAGAAGAGGGCCGGGCAGAGGAGGAGGAGAACAGAATTAATATAAATCTATTCTAATTAATAATATTAATTAATATTCATATTATTAATTAATATTTAATTAAAATCTATCTGTGGCCCAAAGAAGTTTAGCCTATTTTAATTTTGGCCCCTACCTACTGCCAAGTTGTGCAGGTCTGATCCAGAAGTCATGACTAAACTGAGGTGGTTGTACTTTGGGCATATCATGAGAAGACATGACTCACTAGAAAAGACAATAATGCTTGGGAAATTAGAAAGCAGTATGAAAAGAAGACTGCATTCCAGATGGAAAAACTCAGCTGAGAAAGCCATGGCCCTGATTCTGCAGGACCTGAGCAGGGCTGTTGATGGCAGGTGATCTAGAGGTCTCTCATTCATAGGATTGCCATAAGTCAAAGTCAACTTGAAGGCAACTAACAACAAAGTGGACAGATAAGTGTTTGATTCCCTTGCTTCATTCTCCAAGAAAGAGCAAGCTGGTTTTGCCACTAGTCTGGATGAGTTAAAAGAAATGCTATTAGCTGTTGACTCCTCTGCAGAACCTCTACTTACCTTGATATCTCCAAGAAAAAAAACTCCAAGGGGAAAGTTTTAGGACAGTGGACTTTACAGCCTCATTGATGCAGACAGAAGAGAGGGAGATGTTTCCTGACACGTCCAGACAGACAAATGACTGTATGCACTCCAGTATTAATTCCCCATGGAGGTAGAATTCAGAGACATAGCCTTGTTAATATTGAATATCAATATGAAAAGCGGTCTTGTAGTAGCTTTGAAACCAACTGAGCAAAGGAAGTTGTAGCATAAGCTTTCGTAGACTACTTCCTCAGATCTGATTACTCAGTTAGGGGCAAAACAGACAGGCAAAATAAGCAGGTTTCAGGCTGGTTTCAAGGTGGGGCATTTAGATGACACACGCTTTGATACCAGGCCCTCTAGCTGTCTTATGGGGAGAAAAGTTGTTCAAAAAGAAGCTGCTTTTTTCTGCTTCTTCTCAGAAAGTGCACACCTTTGCACATGCATATAAATGCACCAACACCAGTGCATCTCTAAAGAGGCGCTCTTTCCAAACCCTAACCCTAATTGTGCATGTAAACACCCCATCCCAGGAGCACATTTAAAAGAAACAGAACTGCCATACCCAAGTGGTACAGGTGGCAATGCCTAAAAGAGAAACCATGGAACCTCTCATGGAGATGAGTACAACATACACAAAACAGAGAGCCAAAGAGGGGGCATAGGGTGAAGGGGTGGAATGAGGGGAGGCATGATTGTACCTTGCTGGCATCTGCAGGTAATACCAAGGTCACTTGGAAAAATGGAAAAAAAAACATTCCAAAGTCAGGCAGATAGTGTGGGAGTTGTAAATGGACCATCATCACCTCCATAATCAGACTTAATCCTTTCCCATTCACCTTGAATATTGCCAGACCGGATTACCCCAGACATACAGTCTAACACCTTTGCCCTGTAGCTAGTTTTAGCCCTTAAAAACCCCTGGCTTTTCCCCCTCAGTGTCGCTAGTTTGGAGTTCATGGGGACACTACGTCACT